AAACCGAAACTGTCTCTATTTTCCGCTTGTTACAACTTGTAATAAAGTTGTTACATCTTGGCTTAAAGTGTTTATGACGTATTAGAACGTTGTTACAACTTGCTATATTGGTTGTTATAACTGGTTAGGAGGTGTTAAAACTTGTTCGAACGTTGTACCAACGTCGTAGTTTCGGTGTGTGTTTGGAGGGCTCTCTCTAGCTCTTCACAGGGAATACTTGTCAGTAACACTGGTCTGTAATGTCCCATCTCTGTCCCCCTTTGTTGAATATTGGAACTATATATGTCTTTTTCCATGATTCTGGAAGAATTCCAGTTTCGAATGTTTTATTAAGAACATCAGTGAGTGACACAGCACCTCTGCAGCCTCCTTCCGTAGCTATGGTTATCTTGAGGTTATCTTGAGATGATTTCGGGGCTTTAGTGTCCCCGCGGCCCGGTCCTCGACCAGGCCTCCACCCCCAGGAAGCAGCCCGTGACAGCTGACTAACTCCCAGGTACCTATTTACTGCTAGGTAACAGGGGCATTCAGGGTGAAAGAAACTTTGCCCATTTGTTTCTACCTCGTGCGGGAATCGAACCCGCGCCACAGAATTACGAGTCCTGCTCGCTATCCACCAGGCTACGAGGCCACTGGTGACCATTAAGTCTGGCCCAAATGATTTTTATTGAATCTAGTTCTATCAGGTGTTTTTTAACCTCTTCCAATCTGACTACTATGTCATCCAGTGTTTCCTCTGGGCTTTCATCACTCAGGTCTGGTCTCCACATTAGTTCCATTGAAAAGACCTCCTGGAATCTTTTGTTTAGTTCCTCACACACCTCCTTGTCGGTTTCCGTAACACTTCCCCCCCTGCCTCTTTAGCCTTATCAGGTGGTCTCTGCTGTTTTTCTCCTTATATGGCTATAAAAGAGCTTTGGTTGATCCTTAGCTTTCGCTGCTGTGTCATTTTCAAATTGTCTCTCAGCTTCCCTCCTGACTCTGGTGTAACCATTAACCAACTCACTGTAGTTGGTCTCTATTTTCCTCTGGTCCTAACCCTCTGTACTTCTCCGTGCTTTTAAGTTCCTCTCGAGTTGTCCTGTTCCTCTCGAGAAATGGGAACAGAACCCTTACAGAACTACGGAACTTAGATTTACAGAACTACAGAACTATAGGACTTACATAGACTACAGAGCCCTTACTGTAATCTCCAGATCTGTAACCTAACCTAACCTTAGCCTGTTTCTTGGTCTATCCAGTTCCTTTAGTTCCACTGTGTACTGGAGGACGATAGTGTACAGTATACTATAAAAAAAAAATGTTTATTTAGGTAAGGGACATACATACAATAAATTTTTACAAAGATTGGTTGACTTATAGGTAGAGCTAGTACATACAATGCCTAAAGCCACTATTACGCAAAGCGTTTCGGGCATAACATCGTCCTATATTGTATACTAGATATAGTATAGGTCGATAGATAGGTCAGTTGCCTCTCTGGGCGTGTCATGCTACGTTCTTCTCTGTGTCTGTGGCAGTCTTGAGGAAACACCATGTTTAGTGTTGCTGGTGAGTCGTCATCTCTTATTTTTGTTTATCCTTATCCCTTATCCTATATCTCTATCTTAGATAGTGGTGGTGGTGGTGGTGATGGTGGTAGTGGTTTTAGTGGTGTTGGGTAGTGGTGATAGTGGTAGTGGTCGTCTAAGTGGTAGTGGTATTGATGGTAGAGTTAGTGGTGGTGATAGGAGTGGTGATAGTGGTAGTGGTGATTGTAGTCGTAGTGATGGTGTTGGTGGTAGTGGAGGTAGTGGTGATGGTGGATGGTGGCGAGCATTAACGAGTCTTGTGTAACCATGACAACATCTCCCCCCCTTCCCCACACACACACCAGCTATCCGCCCACATTACATTTGCCTCACGGCCGACATCCATCCTCCTGTGGGCAGAGTAGGCCCCCAGCTGCACCTGCACTCCCTCCACCCATCCTTCATGCACCTGTGGTCCCTCCACCCATCCTTCATGCACCTGTGGTCCTTCAGCCCATCCTTCATGCACCTGTGGTCCCTCAGCCCATCCTTCATGCACTGTGGTCCCTCAGCCCATCCTTCATGCACCTGTGGTCCCTCAGCCCATCCTTCATGCACCTGTGGTCCCTCAGCCCATCCTTCATGCACCTGTGGTCCCTCAGCCCATCCTTGATGCACCTGTGGTCCCTGCCAGGCTGGCCAACATATGAACGCCTTTTAGAAACTTGTGTAAGGAATCATTCAGAACTTTGTATACCACATATGCCAGACCAATCCTGGAGTATGCAGCTCCACCATGGAGCATAAGACTGAACTGGAAAAGGTTCAAAGGTTTGCCACCAGACTAGTACCCGAACTGAGAGGTATGAGCTACGAGGAATTAAACTTCGTCACTTGAAGACAGAGGAGTTAGGGGGACATGATCACCACATACAAGATTCTCAAAGGAATTGATAGGATAAATACAGACTAACACAAGGGGACACACGCACTATGGGATACAGGTGGAAATTGAGCACCCAAATGAGCCATAGAAAAAATTGTGTCAGAGAAGTTGACAAATGGAATGCATTAGGCAGTGATGTGGTGGAGGCTGACCCCATACACAGTTTCAAGTGTAGATATGATAGAGCCCAGTAGGCTCAGGAATCTGTACATCAGTTGATTGACAGTTGTGAGGCGGGACCAAAGAGTCAGAGCTCAACCCCCGCAAGCAAAACTAGGTAAGTACACACACACACACACACACACACACACACACACACACACACACACACACACACACACACACACACACACACACACACACACACACACGATGATCGTAGGAGGCTACAAGATGACCTAGACAGACTGAGTGAATGGTCCAACAGATGGCTGCAAAAGTTCAACCCGAGTAAATGCAAGGTAATGAAACTAGGCGGTGGAAACAGGAGGCCAGACACAAGATATAGAATAGGAGATGAAGTATTTTATGAAACAGACAGAGAGAAAGATCTAGGAGTTGATATCACAACAAACCTGTCTCCTGAAGCCCACATAAAAAGAATTACATCTGCAGCATATGCGAGGCTGACTAACATCAGAACAGCCTTCAGGAACCTGTGTAAGGAATCATCCAGAACCCTGTATACCACATATGTAAGACCAATCCTGGAGTATGCGGGCCCAGCATGGATCCCGTACCTTGTTAAGCACAAGACGAAGCTTGAAAAAGTTCAGAGGTATGCCACTAGGCTAGTCCCAGAACTAAGAGGCATGAGTTACGAGGAAAGGCCGCGGAAAATTCATCTCACGACACTGGACGACAGAAGAGTAAGGGGAGACATGATTACAACCTACAAAATTCTCAGGGGAATTGACAGGATACATAACGATAAATTGTTTAACACTGGTGGTACGCGAACAAGGGAACACAGGAGGAAACTGAGTACCCAAATAAATCACAGGGACGTTAGAAAGAACTTTTTCAGTGTCAGAGTAGTTGACAGATGGAATGCGTTAGGGAGTGATGTGGTGGAGGCTGACTCCATTCACAGTTTCACATATAGGTATGACATAGCCCATTAGGCTCAGGAACCTAGCAGTACATCAGTTGATTGACTGTTGAGAGGCGGGACCAAAGAGCCAGAGCTCAACCCTGGAAGCACAAATAGGTGAGTACACAGTGAGAGGGGAGACATCAGAGTGGCGAGATGTCACCAGCGGAGTCCCACAGGGCTCAGTACTTGGACCCATCCTGTTTCTAATATATGTAAACGATCTTCCGGAGGGTAGAGACTCATTCCTCTCAATGTTTGCTGATGATGCAAAAATTATGAGAAGAATCAAGACAGAGACTACAGGATGACCTGGACAAACTGGAGGAATTGTCTAGATAATGGCTGCTAAAGTTCAACTCAGGAAAGTGTAAAGTAATGAAATTAGGCGAAGGGAGCAGAAGGCTGAACACAAGGTACCATCTGGGAGGTGAAATCCTGCAAGAGTTAAATTGAGAGAAAGATGTGGGGGTTGATATCACACCGAACCTGTCCCCAGAGGCCCACATCAAAAGGATATCATCAGCGGCATATGCTAGGTTGGCCAACATAAGAACTGCCTTTAGAAACTTGTGTAAGGAATCGTTCAGGACCCTGTATACCACTTATGTCAGACCAATCTTGGAATATGCAGTTCCAGCCTGGAGTCCATACCTAGTTAAACACAAGACAAAGCTAGAGAAGAATCAGCGGTATGTCACCAGACTCGTCCCAGAACTGAGAGAAATGAGCTACGAGAGAAAAAAAAGGAGCTGAACCTCACATCCCTGGAAAACAGAAGAGTAAGGGGAGACATGATAACCACCTACAAAATTCTCAGGGGAATTGACAGGGTGGACAATGACAAACTCTTTAGCACGGGTGGAACACAAACAAGGGGGGGACACAGGTGGAAACTTAGTGCCCAGATGAGCAACAGAGACATTAGAAAGATTTTTTTCAGTGTCAGAGTATTTAATAAATGGAATGCATTAAGTAGTGTTGTGGTGGAGGCTGACTCCATATACAGTTTCAAATATAGATATGATAGAGCCCAGTAGGCTCAGGAATCTGTACACCAGTTGATTGACGGTTAAGAGGCGGGACCAAAGAGACAAAGCTCAACCTCCGCAAGCACAACTAGGTGAGAACACACACACACAAACACACACACACACACACACACATGAGCCATAGAGACGTTAGAAAGAATTTTTTCAGTGTCAGAATAGTAGACAAATGGAATGCATTAGGAAGTGATGTGGTGGACGCTGACTCCATACACAGCATCAAGTTAGATATGATAGAGCCAAATAGGCTCAGGAACCTGTACACCAGTTGATTGACGGTTGAGAGGCGGGACCAAAGAGTCAGAGCTCCCCGCAAGCACAATTAGTTAAGTACACACACATACGCACGTGCAGAGGACGGTCACGTGCACAATAAGAGAGGAAGTGTGGTGGTGTTACAGACGGGAGGGTCTCCGCTGGCTGAGGCAGGAGGCGACCCACGGCGTCCTCTACTTCGCTGACGACGACAACTCCTACGACGTCCGACTCTTCCATCAGGTGGGTCTTGAGTACCTGGCTGGCCTTCTTATAGGTGGGTCCTCTTCCTGTAGGGGGTGGGACTTCTTCCTGTAGGGGGGAGTGGGACCTCTTCCTGTAGGGGGGAGTGGGACCGCTTCCTGTAGGGGGGAGTGGGACCTCTTCCTGTAGGGGGAGTGGGACCTCTTCCTGTAGGGGGGGTGGGACCTCTTCCTGTAGGGGGGGGGTGGGACCTCTTCCTGGGGGGGTGGGACCTCTTCCTGTAGGGGGGTGGGACCTCTTCCTGTAGGGGGGTGGGACCTCTTCCTGTAGGGGGGTGGGACCTCTTCCTGTAGGGGGGAGTGGGACCTCTTCCTGTAGGGGGGAGTGGGACCTCTTCCTGTAGGGGGGGTGGGACCTCTTCCTGTAGGGGGGGTGGGACCTCTTCCTGTAGGGGGGGTGGGACCTCTTCCTGTAGGGGGGGTGGGACCTCTTCTTGTTGGGGAGTGGGACCTCTTCCTGTAGGGGGGGTGGGACCTCTTCCTGTAGGGGAGTGGGACCTCTTCCTGTAGGGGAGTGGGACCTCTTCCTGTAGGGAGGTGGGACCTCTTCCTGTAGGTGGGTGGGACCTCTTCCTGTAGGGGGGTGGGACCTCTTCCTGTAGGGGGTGGGACCTCTTCCTGTAGGGGGGTGGGACCTCTTCCTGTAGGGGGTAGGACCTCTTCCTGTAGGGGGGGGACCTCTGGGACCTCTTCCTGTAGGGGGAGTGGGACCTCTTCCTGTAGGGGGGTGGGACCTCTTTCTCGCTCCGCTCTGAGCTGGGCAAATGTTTCTAAAATGTCTTATATATAAAATTATATATTAAACGGAATCGGGATTTCCCGAACGTAAAGTCCAAACTGATCACATACTGGTCCCATGTAACCACATACCCGTCCCACGTAACCACATACCCGTCCCACGTAACCACATACCCGTCCCACGTAACCACATACCCCCACGTCCCACGTAACCACATACCGTCCCACGTAACCACATACCCGTCCCACGTAACCACATACCGGTCCCAACAGATCAGGCAGACGAAGAAGGCCTCGGTGTTTCCCGTGGGGATGATCCTCGAACTGGGCGTCAGCTCTCCCATCGTGCGGGGCGGGAAGGTGGTCGGCTTCCATGACGCTTTCCAGGTACCTAGAACTCCTCTTTTTGTCCGCTAACACCTTTGTAACGCCTTCCAGGTGAGTCTCCCCCTATACGACATCTTCCAGGTGAGTCTCCCCCTATACGACATCTTCCAGGTGAGTCTCCCCCTATACGACATCTTCCAGGTGAGTCTCCCCCTATACGACATCTTCCAGGTGAGTCTCCCCCTATACGACATCTTCCAGGTGAGTCTCCCCCTATACGACATCTTCCAGGCGAGTCTCCCCCTATACGACATCTTTCAGATGAGTCTCTCCACCGATGAATGATCAAGGAATCAACATTTGTAGAATAAATCCTCAGGGGCGGAAGTAAGTAAGTATCCGCCGCGTCACAGTCCTGAGATCGAGTCCTGTCTTCTTCCTCAGGGCGGAAGGAAGTTCGCGTTGGACATGGCGGGCTTCGCTGTCAACCTGAGGCTGTTGCATGCGAACCCAACGGCCACCGTCCCTCACCGAGTCTCCTACCTCGAGGATGGCTTCCTCAGGAGACTCAGGCTGGAACTGGAAGATCTTGAGCCTCTAGCCTCAGGCTGCACCGAGGTTAGTCAGTCAGTCAATCAGTTCTCAGACTGTTGCCAGGTTAGTCAGTTTTACAGACTGTAGCTAGGTCAGTCAGTCCTGCAGACTGTAGCTAGGTCAGTCAGTCCTCAGACTGTAGCTAAGTCAGTCAGTCCTCAGACTGTAGCTAAGTCAGTCAGTCCTCAGACTGTAGCCAAGTCAGTCAGTCCTGCAGACTGTAGCCAAGTCAGTCAGTCTTGCAGACTGTAGCCAAGTCAGTCAGTCCTGCAGACTGTAGCCAGGTCAGTCAGTCCTGCAGACTGTAGCTAGGTCAGTCAGTCCTGCAGACTGTAGCCAGGTCAGTCAGTCCTGCAGACTGTAGCTAGGTCAGTCAGTCCTGCAGACTGTAGCCAGGTCAGTCAGTCCTGCAGACTGTAGCCAGGTCAGTCAGTCCTGCAGACTGTAGCCAGGTCAGTCAGTCCTGCAGACTGTAGCCAGGTCAGTCAGTCCTGCAGACTGTAGCCAGGTCAGTCAGTCCTGCAGACTGTAGCCAGGTCAGTCAGTCCTCAGACTGTTTTTATACCATTTACAGCTTAGAACACGAAGCCCTTTTCAACTTCGTACACGAAGCCATTTACAGCTTAGAACATGAAACCATTTACAGCTTAGAACAGGAAGCCATTTACAGCTTAGAACACGAAGCTATTTACGGCTTAGAACACGAAGCCATTTACAGCTTAGAACACGAAGCCATTTACAGCTTAGCACGCTTGAAACCCAAGCACGCCACTCTCTCTCTCTCTCTCTCTCTACAATCACTTAGAGCTCTATAGTGATGCTTTGTTCAGTCACACAAACATTGTTTACAAACCGTTCGCGCCGCGATGTGTTTGTTCAGTGTGAACACTGAGGTCAGGTGTTGAACGAAGGAATCAACGCAGAAGGGCCTGATGACCCGCACGAGACACGTATTTATAACTTCTCAAACTTATTCATATATATACAAGTGTAGCCTTTGCTAGACGTGTATATATATATATATGGTTTGATATCACTTGTAGAGTACGAGGCCGTTTTAAATATTGCATTCATTACTTCGTGTATAGTCGCCGAGACTCGTTTTCGATCAATAATACTGAATCACCTGTCCGTGGTTCAGTATGTTATACTGTACCACCGGTGTATGGTGCTGTATGTTATGTATCTTCTGGCCCATGGTACAATATTTAGTCATTCACAACACAGTGTCAGGATTACAAATTATGAACAGGGGAAAATATTATTATTTGTTGTGGGTTATTTCTCCATGTTGGTGTAGGACTAGTGTTTTAACATAGACTTAATGCTTCAAGTCAGGGACAGTGTGACCTCCCTGTTGACCCCAGTGTGACCTCCCTGTTGACCCCAGTGCGACCTCCCTGTTGACCCCAGTGTGACCTCCCTGTTGACCCCAGTGTGACCTCCCTGTTGACCCCAGTGTGACCTCCCTGTTGACCCCAGTGTGACCTCCCTGTTGACCCCAGCGTGACCTCCCTGTTGACCCAGCATGACCTCCATGTTGACCCCAGTGTGACCTCCCTGTTGACCCCAGCATGACCTCCCTGTTGATCCAGCATGACCTCTCTGTTGACCCAGCGTGACCTCCCTGTTGACCCCAGTGTGACCTCCCTGTTGACCCCAGCATGACCTCCCTGTTGACCCCAGCATGACCTCCCTGTTGACCCAGCATGACCTCCCTGTTGACCCAGCATGACCTCCCTGTTGACCCAGCGTGACCTCCCTGTTGACCCAGCGTGACCTCCCTGTTGACCCAGCGTGACCTCCCTGTTGACCCAGCGTGACCTCCCTGTTGACCCAGCATGACCTCCCTGTTGACCCAGCGTGACCTCCCTGTTGACCCAGCATGACCTCCCTGTTGACCCAGTGTGACCTCCCTGTTGACCCCAGTGTGACCTCCCTGTTGACCCAGCGTGACCTCCCTGTTGACCCAGCGTGACCTCCCTGTTGACCCAGCGTGACCTCCCTGTTGACCCAGCATGACCTCCCTGTTGACCCAGCATGACCTCCCTGTTGACCCCAGTGTGACCTCCCTGTTGACCCCAGTGTGACCTCCCTGTTGACTCCAGTGTGACCTCCCTGTTGACCCCAGTGTGACCTCCCTGTTGACCCCAGTGTGACCTCCCTGTTGACCCAGCGTGACCTCCCTGTTGACCCAGCGTGACCTCCCTGTTGGCCCAGCATGACCTCCCTGTTGACCCAGCATGACCTCCCTGTTGACCCAGCATGACCTCCCTGTTGACCCAGCATGACCTCCCTGTTGACCCAGCATGACCTCCTTGTTGACCCAGCATGACCTCCCTGTTGACCCCAGTGTGACCCTGTTGACCCAGCTTGACCTCCCTGTTGACCCAGTGTGACCTCCCTGTTGACCCCAGTGTGACCTCCCTGTTGACCCCAGTGTGACCCTGTTGACCCAGCTTGACCTCCCTGTTAACCCAGTGTGACCTCCCTGTTGACCCCAGTGTGACCTCCCTGTTGACCCCAGTGTGACCTCCCTGTTGACCCCAGTGTGACCTCCCTGTTGACCCCAGTCTGACCTCCCTGTTGACCCCAGTGTGACCTCCCTGTTGACCCCAGTGTGACCTCCCTGTTGACCCCAGTGTGACCTCCCTGTTGACCCAGTGTGACCTCCCTGTTGACCCAGTGTGACCTCCCTGTTGACCCCAGTGTGACCTCCCTGTTGACCCAGTGTGACCTCCCTGTTGACCCAGTGTGACCTCCCTGTTGACCCAGTGTGACCTCCCTGTTGACCCAGTGTGACCTCCCTGTTGACCCAGTGTGACCTCCCTGTTGACCCAGTGTGACCTCCCTGTTGACCCAGTGTGACCTCCCTGTTGACCCAGTGTGACCTCCCTGTTGAGCCAGTGTGACCTCCCTGTTGACCCAGTGTGACCTCCCTGTTGACCCAGTGTGACCTCCCTGTTGACCCAGTGTGACCTCCCTGTTGACCCAGTGTGACCTCCCTGTTGACCCAGCGTGACCTCCCTACAGGTACTAGTGTGGCACACCAAGACACAGCGGGGCAGGAAGCCCAACATGGACAATGTTCCGGGTGAACACTTCGACACCAACTTGGTCCAACTCTACCGCCACCTTCTGCGCTGACCCGCCTCTCCCAACTCCGCGCAAGTCGTCGGCCAGTCTGCAGTTGTTTACCGACCCAGAACCCCCCTCCCCCCCCACCCACTCCACCTTCGTGCCTGGTCCTTCCATGCAGCGGCCGACCCCATTGATGTGAACCGACTGTGTCTTCAATTGTCGGGGTTCTCAATACACATATGAATACTATTATATATTAGTTTTTAGGTACTTGACAATTATTTGCATTTGCAGGTTGTGGGAAACCTGTCATCGAGCCAGGCTCGTTAAAGCTGCGGCCATGCCCCCCCCTCCCCTCCCCCCCTAGACACATTCATCAGTTCTAACATGTTGTGTATTAGAAATAGAGAAATAGGTTTGTTCTCATAAGTTAATATTACAATAGTATTACATTACATTAAAGTTCTATGTATAATTAGGAATAGGTTAGGTTAGGTGTTCAGGTTCCGTTGGCAAATCTGTAAAGACATCACGTGGCAACCTGTCCTCTGACCAAGGCTATTCCATCCAGCGGTCGACCCCTATTGATGCTTTCATAAATGTTATAATGCTGTTCATTCAAGCCCGTCCTCATAAACAGAGACCCAAAGTCCATTCCATGCACCCGCCAAACCCCTTGTTTATGAATGAAAAACGGTTTACACGATTCACAACTGATGACGTCCAAACACTTCCGGAAGAAGTGCTTCACTGACGAATTTTGTTCGAACCACAACGTTCTATATGCTTCACCCACGTACTACAAATAAAAATAATCGCCAACAGAACCTAAACACCTAACCAAACCTAACCTATATATGCACAATATACTAATATATTATAATATTAATTTATATTTGAGAACATTCCCGTTTTGAATGAATAGCATGTTAACATTTATTAATGCATCTTTGGGGTCGACCGCTGGATGGAATGGACTTGAGTCGAGGACGGGTTGCGTGAAGTATCTATCGAGAGTTAGTTGTCATACTCATTATTTATAAGTTCACTGACTTTATATTTAAAAACTCTTTCCTTGAGTTTCGTTGAAATGTCTAGACAACATATAAATGTCTAGACAACATATAAATATAAAATTTCATGATTTACCTGATTAACACAAGGGCCACTAACCCTAGTAGCCTCGACGAAGACAGGAAGCTGGCGGCTTGTCGAAGGTCATTTGCTTTGAGAATTAAAATAAAAATAAATTCAATTGACCAGACCACACACTAGAAGGTGAAGGGACGACGACGTTTTGATCCGTCCTGGACCAATTTCAAGTCACAGTCGACTTGAGAATGGTCCAGGACGGGCCGAAACGTCGTCGTCCCTTCACCTTCTAGTGTGTGGTCTGGTCAACATAATTTAGCCACGTTATTGTGACTCATCGCCTGCAAACCAAATTCAAATTAAAAAAAAAAGAACTTAAATTTAAAAATAAATTAACCTAATCTACCTTAAATTCAACAAAAAATAAATAAAAATAATGAGTATTGAAACTAGTTTTATTCTTGCATCTCAGAACGTGTTTTCTCAACAATATTCAGTAGACTCACCCGCTCGTAAGTCTCTCAATAATTCCTTTCGTCGGGGACAGGAAGCTTTTAAATATATGTATATACGCTAGGTATACACCATCGTGGGAGTTCCATCACCCCAACCACTTGGGCTGGACGGTAGAACGACGGTCTTGTTTCATGCAGGTCGGCGTTCAATTTCCCGACCGTTCGGGGAATCCCCGTTCTCGCACTTGCTTATAGTCAATATCTTGCTTAAGAATAAGTGCATATGTGACATACTAATTTATTGTGAATATTTGAGTTTACCTTGAAAAGCTGAATAGAAAACCATAGCCTAACCTAACCTTCTTAGTATGTTAAGATATTACAATTAGTACTGAACCTATACCTATATTGATTTTACAGCTTTATAAAAACTATAAAACAAAACTTAAATATTTAAATAAATTGTAAAGTAACTCAGGATATTGTCAAATTTTGTATAAAATCTCTATTGTTTAATAAAACTGAGAGAAAAAGTTAATGCCTTGAAAAAAAAACATGGTTTGGAATATGTCACATATGTACTTATTTATAAGCTAAATAGTAACTATAAGCAATAAATCATATATGTGCTGTTTTGTGCGAGAGCAGGTTGCAGTGGTTGGGCATCATTCCTTTCCCCCGTCCCATCCCAAATCCTTATACTGACCCGTTCTAAGTGCTTTATAGTCGTAATTGCTAGGCGCTTTCTCCTGATTGGCGTACTAAGAGACCCCAAATTTTATGCCATGATGGATCGAAAAGATCGATTGAGCTTGGATCGAAACTACGTCGAGACTCCGTCAAGGAGATAAAAAAAAAATCCCTTTAATTTAGGGGATAAACAGCTTTATAATCAGCAAGCTGATTATAAAGTGTTCAATAGCAAAGCTATTAATTCAATAATTAATTCAAAGCTATTGTTCAATAGCATAGCATACGTGTTCAATAGCAAAGCTGATACCAGGAGTGTGCAGTTTGTGTGGCCGAGTCAACATCTGTATAAAAACATATACGAATGAACACACGAAAGAATTAAAATAATGTCATCAAAAATAATTTAAAACACCTCTATCAAAACACCTGCCGATGAGTTACCCAGCAGCCCTCATGTGACAAATATAAGCTTCGTAATCTTAGATGAGAGGTTACCTTAGATTACCTTTACAGGATCTGCTAATTAGTTAACTCAACTTGTTGCAAAAGGTTTAAACCAGTGTATGAGAATTTTTCAATTTCAATGATACCATTCACGATTCATTTTCCAACGAAATTCTCCACGAATCTGGCAACCATTACTATAATAGTAAGCCATAGCAACTAGCACGAACTTACTAAAGAAAACACTACTTACTTACTTTAGTAAGTAAGTACTTACTTACTAAAATAAGTAGTAGTTACATTACTTACTAAAATAGTAAGCCATAGCAACCCTCACCAAACAAATTCCACCAGTTATATATAACTGGGGAATAGTGTCAGGTCTTGTCTAACAGGGGAGGGGGGGGGGAGTAGTTACTCTGCTGGACCTCTCCTGCTGGGAGGGGGTGTAGTTACTCTGCTGGACCTCTCCTGCTGGGAGGGGGGTGTAGTTACTCTGCTGGACCTCTCCTGCTGGGGGGGTGTAGTTACTCTGCTGGACCTCTCCTGCTGGGGGGGGGTGTAGTTACTCTGCTGGACCTCTCCTGCTGGGGGGGGGTGTAGTTACTCTGCTGGACCTCTCCTGCTGGGGGGGTGTAGTTACTCTGCTGGACCTCTCCTGCTGGGGGGGGGGTGTAGTTACTCTGCTGGACCTCTCCTGCTGGGGGGGGGTGTAGTTACTCTGCTGGACCTCTCCTGCTGGGGGGGGTGTAGTTACTCTGCTGGACCTCTCCTGCTGGGGGGGGGTGTAGTTACTCTGCTGGACCTCTCCTGCTGGGGGGGGTGTAGTTACTCTGCTGGACCTCTCCTGCTGGGGGGGGGTGTAGTTACTCTGCTGGACCTCTCCTGCTGGGGGGGGTGTAGTTACGCTGCTGGACCTCTCCTGCTGGGGGGGTGTAGTTACTCTGCTGGACCTCTCCTGCTGGGGGGGTGTAGTTACTCTGCTGGACCTCTCCTGCTGGGGGGGGGGGGTGTAGTTACTCTGCTGGACCTCTCCTGCTGGGGGGGGGTGTAGTTACTCTGCTGGACCTCTCCTGCTGGGGGGGGGTGTAGTTACTCTGCTGGACCTCTCCTGCTGGGGGGGGGTGTAGTTACTCTGCTGGACCTCTCCTGCTGGGGGGGGTGTAGTTACTCTGCTGGACCTCTCCTGCTGGGGGGGGGGGTGTAGTTACTCTGCTGGACCTCTCCTGCTGGGGGGGGTGTAGTTACGCTGCTGGACCTCTCCTGCTGGGGGGGGTGTAGTTACTCTGCTGGACCTCTCCTGCTGGGGGGGTGTAGTTACTCTGCTGGACCTCTCCTGCTGGGGGGGGGGTGTAGTTACTCTGCTGGACCTCTCCTGCTGGGGGGGGGTGTAGTTACTCTGCTGGACCTCTCCTGCTGGGGGGGTGTAGTTACTCTGCTGGACCTCTCCTGCTGGGGGGGGTGTAGTTACTCTGCTGGACCTCTCCTGCTGGGGGGGGGGGGTGTAGTTACTCTGCTGGACCTCTCCTGCTGGGAGGGGGGGTGTAGTTACTCTGCTGGACCTCTCATGCTGGGGGGGGGGTGTAGTTACTCTGCTGGACCTCTCCTGCTGGGAGGGAGGGTGTAGTTACTCTGCTGGACCTCTCATGCTGGGGGGGGGGTGTAGTTACTCTGCTGGACCTCTCCTGCTGGGAGGGGGGGTGTAGTTACTCTGCTGGACCTCTCCTGCTGGGGGGGGGTGTAGTTACTCTGCTGGACCTCTCCTGCTGGGGGGGGGTGTAGTTACTCTGCTGGACCTCTCCTGCTGGGGGGGGGTGTAGTTACTCTGCTGGACCTCTCCTGCTGGGGGGGGGGGTAGTTACTCTGCTGGACCTCTCCTGCTGGGGGGGGGTAGTTACTCTGCTGGACCTCTCCTGCTGGGGGGGGTGTAGTTACTCTGCTGGACCTCTCCTGCTGGTGGGGGGGTAGTTACTCTGCTGGACCTCTCCTGCTGGGGGGGGGGGGAGTAGTTACTCTGCTGGACCTCTCCTGCTGGGGGGGGGGGTGTAGTTACTCTGCTGGACCTCTCCTGCTGGGAGGGGGGGTGTAGTTACTCTGCTGGACCTCTCCTGCTGGGGGGGGAGTAGTTACTCTGCTAGACCTCTCCTGCTGGTGGGGGGGTAGTTACTCTGCTGGACCTCTCCTGCTGGGAGGGGGGGTGTAGTTACTCTGCTGGACCTCTCCTGCTGGTGGGGGGGTAGTTACTCTGCTGGACCTCTCCTGCTGGGAGGGGGGGTGTAGTTACTCTGCTGGACCTCTCCTGCTGGGGGGGGGGTGTAGTTACTCTGCTGGACCTCTCCTGCTGGGGGGGGGGTGTAGTTACTCTGCTGGACCTCTCCTGCTGGGGGGGGGGGTGTAGTTACTCTGCTGGACCTCTCCTGCTGGTGGGGGGTAGTTACTCTGCTGGACCTCTCCTGCTGGGGGGGGGAGTAGTTACTCTGCTGGACCTCTCCTGCTGGTGGGGGTGTAGTTACTCTGCTGGACCTCTCCTGCTGGGGGGGGGAGTAGTTACTCTGCTGGACCTCTCCTGCTGGGGGGGGGGTGTAGTTACTCTGCTGGACCTCTCCTGCTGGGGGGGGGCGTAGTTACTCTGCTGGACCTCTCCTGCTGGGGGGGGGGTAGTTACTCTGCTGGACCTCTCCTGCTGGGGGGGCGTAGTTACTCTGCTGGACCTCTCCTGCTGGGGGGGGGTAGTTACTCTGCTGGACCTCTCCTGCTGGGGGGGGGGTGTAGTTACTCTGCTGGACCTCTCCTGCTGGGGGGGGAGTAGTTACTCTGCTGGACCTCTCCTGCTGGGGGGGGGGGAGTAGTTACTCTGCTGGACCTCTCCTGCTGGTGGGGGGGTAGTTACTCTGCTGGACCTCTCCTGCTGGGGGGGGGGTAGTTACTCTGCTGGACCTCTCCTGCTGGGGGGGGGGTGTAGTTACTCTGCTGGACCTCTCCTGCTGGGGGGGGTGTAGTTACTCTGCTGGACCTCTCC